TGGCACTGGGCACTATGTCAATAGGTTAGTCCCAAAAAATGATATAAAGTTGCTATAAAATGAATGTAAAGCATCTAAGAATGATAATGTAACACCATGAATACTTCATAAATTATAGATACGTTGGATACGTATCAGGCACAACCAACCAAGGGCGCGCCTGGGCCCCCAGGCGCGCCCAGGTGGGTTGTGCCCACCTCGGTGGCCTCCCACACCGCCTCTTTGCTGTATAAATAGCCCAATATTCCAGAAACCCTAGGGGAGTCAACGAAAATCAGTTTCAGTCGCCGCAAGTTCTAGAACCACCAGATCCAATCTAGACACCATCACAAAGGGCTTCATCATCCTCATTGGTGCCTCTCCGATGATGCGTGAGTAGTTCATTGTAGACCTACGGGTCCGTAGTTAGTAGCTAGATGACTTCCTCTCTCTCTCTCTTTTGATTCTCAATAAAATGGTCTCTTGTAGATCTATTTGATGTAACTCCTTTTTGCGGTGTGCTTGTTGAGATCCAATGAACTTTGAGTTTATGATCAGATCTACGTTTTTATTCATGAAAGTTATTTGAGTTCTTTGATCTCTTATATGCATGATTACTTATAGTCTCATATTTCTTCTTCAAATCTTTGGTTTAGTTGGGCCAACTAGATCGATTTTTCTTGCCATGGGAAAAGGTGCTTTGTGATGGGTTCGATCTTACGGTGCTTGATCCCAATGACAGAAGGGGAAACGACACGTATGTATCATTACTATTAAGGATAACAAGATGGGGTCTATTTCTACATTAATAGATCTTGTCTACATCATGTCATCGTTCTTATTGCATTACTCTGTTTCTCCATGAACTTAATACACTAGATGCATGTTGGATAGCGGTCGATGTGTGGAGTAATAATAGTAGATGCAAGCAGGAGTCGGTCTACTAATATTGGACGTGATACCTATATAATGATCATTGCCCGGGTATTGTCATAATTATTTGAAGTTCTATCAATTACCTAACAGTAATTTGTTTACCCATCGTTGCTATTTTCTCGAGAGAAGCCACTAGTGAAATCTACAGCCCCCGGGTCTCTTCTTTATTATATTTGCCTTCGCGATCTATTTTTATTTGCTTTTATTTTTAGATCTATTAATCCAAAAAATACAAAAATACCTTGCTGCAAATTTTATTTATTTATTTTATCCTGCGTTCCCGCAAGATCTATTTATCCAATCTACTACAATTTTACCTATCTTTTTACCCGTGAGGGATTGACAACCCCTCTCTTATGTTGGGTTGCAAGTATTTGTTCTTTGTGTGCAGGAGTTGTTTACGTGATGTTGCATGGTTCTCCTACTGGTTCAATAACCTTCGCCTCATCACTGAGGGAAATACCTACCGTAGTTGTGATGCATCATCCCTTCCTCTTTGGGGAAATACCGACGTAGTTCAATCCGCATCAGCACGACGGCGTGGTGTCGGTGATGGTGAAGTGATCTCCGTAGGGCTTGGCCTAAGACTACGAAAATATGACAGGGGTGTAAACTGTGGAGGGGGCGCCGCATACGGCTAACAATTGATCTGGTGTGTGCTAGGCGCCCCCTCCCACATATATATAGGTGGGAGGGGGAAGAGGCCAGGGCGCACCCTAGGGTTGGCTGTCGGCCCCCTAGGGGCCCTGCCTTCCCCTGCCCCCCCCCTGCCATGTTTCCCCAAGGGGGAAGGAAAGAGGGGGGAGGGAAGGAAGTGGGAATCCTAATCCACACTTTCCTTTCCCTTCTCCCCTTTCCTTCTCCTCCTTAGGTCGGCCCATATGGGGGGCGCACCAGCCCTTGTGGCTGGTGTGGTTCCCCTCTTGGCCCATAAGGCCCATATCTTTTGTCGGGGGTGCTCGGAACCCCTTCCGATGACCCGATAAGTACCCGGTACCCCCCGAAACACTTTCGGTGTTTGAATACCATCGTCCTATATATCAATCTTTATCTCTTGGCCATTTCGAGACTCCTCGTCATGTCTGTGATCTCATCCGGGACTCCGAACAACATTCGGTCGCCAAATCACATAACTCATATAATATTATATCGTCATCAAACGTTAAGCGTGCGGACCCTACGGGTTCAAGAACTATGTAGACATGACCGAGAAACCTCTCTGGTCAATAACCAATAGCGTAACCTGGATGCCCATATTGGCTGCTACATATTCTACGAAGATCTTTATCGGTCGAACCATTATGACAATATATGTAATTCCCTGTGTCCATCGGTATGTTACTTGCTTGAGATTCGATCGTCTGTATCTTCATACCTAGTTCAATCTCATTACCGGCAAGTCTCTTTACTTGTTCCGTAATACATCACCTCGTGACTAACTCCTTAGTCATTTGCTTGCAAGCTTATGATGTGTATTACCGAGAGGGCCCAGAGATACCTCTCCGATACTCGGAGTGACAAATCCTAATCTCGATCTACGCCAACTCAACAAACACCTTTGGAGATAACTGTAGAGCATCTTTATAATCACCCAGTACGTTGTGACGTTTGATAGCACACAAGGTATTCCTCTGGTATCTGGGAGTTGCATAATCTCATAGTCGAAGGAATATGTATTTGACATGAAGAAAGCAATAGCAATAAAACTGAGCGATCATTATGCTAAGCTAACGGATGGGTCTTGTCCATCACATCATTCTCCTAATGATGCCCGTTATCAAATGACAACTCATGTCAATGGTTAGGAAACCTTAACCATCTTTGATCAACAAGCTAGTCTAGTAGAGGCTCGCTAGGGACACGGTGTTTGTTTATGTATTCACACATGTTTTTAAGTTTCCGATCAATACAATTCTAGCATGAATAGTAATCCTTTATCATGAATAAGGAAATATAAAATAACAACTTTATTGTTGCCTCTAGGGCATATTTCCTTCACTCCCACCCCATGGGATAGCTAAATGTCGATCTCCCGTGGGCAACGACAAGGTATGCTCGGCCTCAGCCAACCCTACCCCTAGAAAGGGGGAGCGAGTGGTCTTCAGCTCCCACCTGATCCGAGGTCTCGGCTTTCCTCTCCGTCCCTTCCATTGTGGGCTCATATTTTTCTATGGGCTCCAACTTCATCACCTGGCCCCGAATTCCATCCTCCACATCACTACCTAGTTCACATTCTACGAGGCATTCCTTCGCATAGAGCCCCACTTCAGACTGTGGTTGAAGGTGTTTTGCATCAAGCAAGATGTTAGTGGCTCCAAACTTGCGGATTGCGGCGGGGCCATGATCAGTAAGATCCCAAGGTTTTCTGCGGCGAAGAGGGAAAAGGGGAAGAAACAAGGCGGGCTAGGGTTCTGCTGCCGCCGTTCGGCTTACATAGTCGGTTTCCTCCATCGGGCGGCACGCCGGAACGGCAACACGCGACGCGGGGAGGAGGAGGCGTCCGTCAGATCAACGGTCTCTCCGCGTCCCCGCGTGGGCCGTATCCGTCAGTCCGACGTGGCAGGCATGCCCACGTCCGGGCCTCCCAATATCCGCCCCAGATTTGGGCCGGATATGGAGAGTGTCGATCAGTCCGGGCATTTAGGCGGGTCCGTTGGTAGATGCACTGAAGAGCTGAAGTAAGGTAACTAGACAGAAACAATAAAAGGCGCCTAAAAGGTAACTGAACTCCAGCCATTGGATGAAGATCTTGCATCGCCAGGTCATCTTCTCACCTATCAACATAATTCGCCGGAATAATAACAGGGAGTCGCTGGATCAAGATCAGAGTGAACACCTAAATGAAGGCCTTCAAGAGTGTAGATGTAGGTCTGACGGTCTGAGCGTGACACCCACACAACTGTTCCTGAACATATGCTACTGTATATCTGACATGGATCAATACTTCGACGCGTTTGGTTCGCAGAAAAGCCGCGGCTTCCGATTCTAATGCTTCCCGAAACCGTACAGTTGCGTTTGGTTCGCCCAAACGCCCCGAATGTCTTCCGTAGCCATGGTTTTTCTGATACAAGACTTCGCGATACCGGGCCAGACGGACATTAGTCCTCGAATGCAAAGGTAGAAGGGAGCTTGACTGCAAGACTCACCCGTCGAGCAGAGATGAAAGTAGGCCCCAGATCGGAGTTGATTGGAAAACGGGAAGCCATGTGTGCCAACCAAACGAAGCGGGTTTTCCATAAAACTAATCGGAAGCGGAGGTTCCTGATACGATAAAATCAATACGTTACTGGGGCCGAACCACACGCGTCGTTCGATCATTTCAGAGGCCGAGCTCAAAGTTATGGTGGCTGTGACCCCATTATGGGCACACCTGTGATTGTAGCTACGATAACACATGTTCTGTTAGTTTGCTTTGTCAGGATGCTAACATGCATCAGTAGGTAATTCCATCCATACACTGACCGTGCTGAAGCTTGAAAGATTACCAGAGAACTGCGTTCCACTACCCAATGGACACTGAATGCATCCAGCGTTGCAATGCAGAGTAGTCAATATCGTCTCGCCTGCTCCAAGTAAGGGAATGGAAAATATGTTAGCAATGATGAAAATTATCTGCCTGTTAAACATTTCATATTGCGTCCACTGTCCAAGAAACTACTAACTTCACAAAAATCATGTGCTAGTCATGCCCCAGGTTTTCCAAAGTGAACAGGAACAAACAAGTAGCACGACAGGAAACCAATCTCAAAACACAAGGTTCTCATACACAACATGTGCGTAAGGTAAAACAGACTAGTCAGCTGCCCATTCCTCACAGACAAGTTTGGACGGTGGTCACTTTCAAGATCCACAAAATGCATGCCCCAAGCTTTCCAAAGCGTCTAGGAACAAACAAGGCTTTGAAGCCCATCTCAAAATTTTCCGTTGTGCAGTTTGGAAAATTACAGGGAAACTAACTGCTGGAACCGAGACAAAAAAAATTCACTACAGTATATCCATTGGAGTGGATACCTAAGATCGGTTGCTATTCAACCAAACTTGCATCCCCACGTAACATCATATATTGCAGATTCACGGTTGACATTCTATGGTTCCTGTTCTTCGCTTTCCTGGCTTGATTCCCCTGCTCTCTCCGGCTGCCTTTTTTCCTTGTGCTGCATCAATTATTGAGAGATTGGTTAAAGGAGGCAGAGCAGCATGAAATGAAGTTGATTGTCTTATGTTTCAAGTGCCTAAGACAGACAAATGGACTAAATAAGTGTTTCATTTATGGCCTAAGTGCATGAATGCATGAAAGTTTCAAAAAAAAAGTGCATGAATGCATGAAACCGTAAGTGGAGAAAGTAGCCTTTTCTTAGGAATCAGTGATTCTCACTTGAAGTGTCAACACACGTATGTGCACATAGGTTTGTGTTAGAGTACGTAATGGGCCTAATGGCCTGGGCTGGCGGTATAGCCCGTTAGTCTTAGGGTTAATTAGAGATAAGGGTCGCTTTCTTAGGGTTCAAGTAAGCCTTGCTTGGGAGTCAAGTAAACCTCTCTACATAAAGAGAGATGTATCAATCTAATCAAGCAAGAATTAAGAAGGAAATCCCTTCCATCTTGCCCGGCCGTGGGCAAAAGGCCCCCGGCCGGCCCTCTCGCGCCCTCCTTCTAGCAGCGCCATAACAATTTGGTATCAGCTAGCTTCGATTCGATCATGTCTTCACCGCCGCCCAACCCGTCTCTTCCGCTGCCGGTCACGACCGTCTCCCCGCTCCTGCCCGCACCGGGATCCTCCGTCGCGCCCGCCCCCGTCGTCCTCACCCCGGAGGTGTCCGGGGCGCTGCGGGACCTAACACAGGCGGTCCAGGAGATCCATTTGTTCTTGGCCGGGTCCTATGGGCCGCACCCGGCTGCGCCGCCCATCACCGCCACCGCGCCGCCGTGGCTGCCGTGGCAGCCGCCGCACCGAGCCGCCCCCGCCGCGCTCGCCGGGCTGCTGCAGCAGCCGCTGCAGCTGCCATCCATCGCCCCGTCCTGGCTGCCGTGGCAGCCGCCGCACCAGGCGGCCTCCGCCGCGTTCGTCGGGCTGCTACAGCAGCCGCTGCAACTGCCATCCACCGCCACCACCGCCCCGTCCTGGCTGCCGTGGCAGCCGCCGCACCAGGTGGCCTCCGCCGCGCTCATCAGGCCGCTGCAGCAGCTGCCATCCACCGCCCCGCCCTGGCTGCAGTGGCAGCCACCGCTCCTGGCGACCTCTGCCGCGCCCGGCGCTCCGCCGCAGCAGCCGCTGCAACTGCAGCAGCCATCACCGGTCAGCTCCGGCCCCGCATCGACCGCGCCGACGGGAGTCCCGATCCACCAGATCAAGTTCCCGCCGTCGCCATCACCGCTTCCCCAGGGCGTCCCCATCCAGCAGATCAAGCTTCCGCCGTCGCCGTCACCGCTTCCAGCTTGGATCACTACCCGCTACGTGTCGGCGACGGTGAGGCTGCAGGCTGCTGCACGCGGCCTCCTAGCGCGTCGGCGTGTGCGGGAGTTGCGTGGTCTGCAGCTGCCGCTCCTCCCAGTTGCGCTTCGCTGCGCAAAGGACCTCGATCTCGTCCGCTGCGTCGGGGATCTTGGGCATGCTGTTTTCCCCACGGACAACGCCCTCAAAGTCTGCAACATCGGCGGTTGGGGAGGCACACCCCTCCTCGCCATTGTCCATCGACAACCCTCCACTCTTCTATGTGCGGTGCCGACCAACAGCCATCCGGCGGGGAGAAGGCATGGTGTCACCGACAAGAGCGCACCGCGTAGCACCACTGCATTCCGCCGCCGGCCGCCGCGAGGGCGCCTCTGCTGGTCGCTCTTGCGACCACTTCCAGGTGGCCATACACATGCACTGCTTTTGTCCAGATGGTGTCCATGGGATCCAGGTGGCTGTACACGTGCACGTCCGACGTGCGGATGGTATCCACTTTTTGTTAAGAGGTCCAAAATAAATCATCCCAGTCCATTTCAGGTTGAGAGTAATAAAACAAGCCAAGATGTAAAAGGCTTGTTTTTAGGTGTTAGGTTTGTGTTGCCTCGAGTCATGGTTATAAGTTGGTTAGGCTGCAGCTTGAGGACAAGCTGCATGTCCAGGTGGGGTGTAGTGTTAGAGTACGTAATGGGCCTAATGGCCTGGGCTGGCGGTATAGCCCGTTAGTCTTAGGGTTAATTAGAGATAAGGGTCGCTTTCTTAGGGGTCAAGTAAGCCTTGCTTGGGAGTCAAGTAAACCTCTCTACATAAAGAGAGGAGATGTATCAATCTAATCAAGCAAGAATTAAGAAGGAAATCCCTTCCATCTTGCCCGGCCGTGAGCAAAAGGCCCCCGGCCGGCCCTCTCGCGCCCTCCTTCTAGCAGCGCCATAACAGTTTGAGATTAGCTCAACTTTACATTTATAACGGCTTCTAAAAACGCTACTTTTACTTCAACCCGTGGTACAAAAGCTGCGTGAGAATATGCTAGTTCAATCAGCATCTCTTTAACTTAGAGGTGAATGCCTAATTGTTTGAATAATAAAAAAATGCAATCCCCCAAAAATTGTTTGAATAATCAAAAATGCAAACCCCAAAAAATGACTGCTAGCACTTCAAGTTAAGAATTACTGTATCCTCAGTTATATCACTTATTGTTCAGTAACAATTGATTCTACTTTATTAGACGAGCCATATTACCAAAGAATGTTATTCTACTAGTTATTTGTCCAACTTTAAAATGAAAAGGCTTAATCGGTATAGAGAAACAAGTAAGGATTACCATTTAGAAATACCAGGCAAATCTTGGCAGTATCACAGGTTATTTCCTCCTAAAATCAAATTCCTCATTCTCTTAAGAACTTAATTAATCATTTATTTTCTGCACTGTATATTTCAGTTATTAGTAAATCTGAACTGTTGGCTGGGCCCTCTATTTTACCTTATAGATATATATAGCTACAGTTGGTTTAATGGTAAATGTGATGCAACGGTCCAAATTCAGAACAGCAGCAACAACAATGTACCTTTGGAAGAAGCCCTTCTGCAGACATCAGCTCATACAACTTGCGCATGATTGTTTCCTCTTCAACCTATATAAAATGACAGCAACTGATTACTGAAAAAATACCCCTGAGATTCCTTCTTAACATAAAAGCTTAGTAGTATCTGAGGCTCACCTGTAGTTTATGCAACTCATGGGACATTGCTCGGTATGTTTCCATTAGGGCATGATTTTGCTTGTCCAAATGCCTGCAGATCATTTCTATGTTATATAAAATAATTGAAATCTTTAGGGCTCATTTGTTGCTAAAGGTTAGTCAAGATGTTGCACCTGGACATTTCAGCAGAATGCTTTGGTTCCATTATCACCAAACAACTTTATACTGCTTCTTCTCTACTTGAGGAAATGTGTGAACGCCCACCCGTCTTGACAGAAGAAAAACTCTATACTCTCCCTGCAAATTATTTGACTGATTAGAATTTCTTTCAAATCAAGCTAGAAGCTGTCCTCCACATACTGTAAATTTACAAAAAGGGGGAGGGTCCAGAAATAGACGAGAACCAGTACTAAATTTTGAACAGTAAATAGCTCGTATGATACTTGAGTCCATGCTTATGATACATCAATATACACAAAAAAAATGAAAATTATGCATGCTGGTAGAGATATATATTTCACACCCAATACTAATTGCTCTGGAGATATGCTGTAGTGACTGTCTAATGGGGCTAGTCTAATTAATTGGGTGTGAAATATATATCTCTACCAGCATAGGAGAGTAGTTTATGCACCAAGAAAAGAAAAGAAAAACAGTTCCTGTGCACAGATGGATAAACAAGACAAAGGTACATTAGAGTGTCAGAGTTGCACAAAACTGGGATGTGGGAATCTTCTGACTCAAAAGATTAGCTAGCTTCATGATGAGTGACCTCAGTGACAAATGGTGACTGATATGCTTAATTGCTCTAGAAAAAGCAAATAGATGAATGGATATTTTTGCATACCCCAATGATGTCACTAATAAAGTAACCAAGTTACAAGTGTACAATGAGTTCTGCATCAGTTGCAAATTTATGGATGGGGACCAAAATGAAGCATACTGAAGAAGGAACCAACAATATCAGTATCCATTGAAGCAAAGGGGCAGTGGATCAATTTGACCTACTACGCAGGCAGGACAAACCACACTCTAATTATTTAAATCCCTCTAATTATTTACTATCATCCAGGGACCTTGCTTCTAGTCCAGAACTCTGGGATTTTTTATTTATGTTGACAGATAAAACTGAACAGTGTTCATGTGCAAAAGTTCATCCAGGGACCCTGATTTACTGTCAATGTAAAAGCTCATCCAGAAACACCTTAATTTCTGTCAACATGAAAACCCGCACTTCTATCAAAAATTCAAAATTGAAATCAATGAACTGGCTCTCACAAGAGCCGGGTTCCAATGATTTTCAGGAGAGGAGAGGGATGGCCGTGGAGGCAGCCAGTCTCATCGATGGACGCAGCAAACTGCTGCAGATCGGAGCCATGGCCGCTGGGTGTCGGGCGAGGAGCAAGAAGAGCCGGCTCTAGGGTTTGCAGGGGAGGGTATGGAGAAGTGGGGGATAGGGGAGGAATCACCTCGGGAAAAACCGGCGGAGGAGGACGTTGACGCTCTGGCGGCGGCGGGGCGCCTCCTCTCAGTCGCAGCGAGGGCGTTGCTTTGCCCGTTCCGTTCCGAAGACGGCGGCGCGAGGAGGAGGCTGCGGCCGACGGCGGCTCGTCGAGGAGGAGGCTGCTGCCGACGGCGGAGGGTCGAGGCGAATCGAAGGTGATTGGGCCAGCGAAACCTCGTCTACCAAATGGGCCGAAGAGGATTGTAGAGGGTTATTGGTCACGCGTGGAAAATCTATTCAGAAACCCCCAAAACTCTCGTGTCAAACAAAGACTTAAGCAGTCAATTAACTTTATTTTTCCCTCAAAAAAAGTCAATTAACTTTACTTTTTATATTTAATTAAAACATGAATACTATTTTTACTAAATTCTTAAAAATGAAATCAAATTAAATAATAGATGGAAGAATTTGTATATAGAAAATGAAAATTTGACAAGCGGCGGCGAGCGCGTTGGGGAGCTTTGGTCGTTGCCACCGGAGCTACAACGGTTGCCACAGGAGTTGCAACCACAGGGTGCAACTGTTACATGAGGTGAAGCAAGTGACGAGGATGGCTGGTGAGGGCTGGAACCGGCGACTAGGACAACTGGCAAGGGAGTCCGGCTAGGAGCGGCGACGGGGAGAACACATGCGGCGGCAAGGCGAGGGGGCGACGAAGGGAAAAACGCGTGCGGCGCGGCCACGGGTGCATTGCGAAGACGACGCGCATCGAACGGTTCCCATTATCCCCAATCTAACGGCTGCGGGCCAACCGACCCAAATTTGAACCGACGCCTAGCATGCCCTTCGCAAATGCTGGAGTAAAACACTAATCGGCATTATGCTAATAGTACAAAACTAATCAGAGTAAAAAAAATACAAAAATAATGGTCCTCATAACGCCCACACGTGTGGGCGTTATGGGGTCTGGCCACACGTCTCGTGTGGTATCTAAAGAACCAGTTCACATGTTTGCGTGTAGGCAAAACAAGTAATGTCCACACGCTTGGTCTGTTGCCTCGCGGTTCCTCCAACACGTCCATATGTGGGCAAAATAGATAACGCCCACATGTCTGTACTCACGGTCCCGCACGTTCCGCGTGACAGTCACCACGCGTCCCCGCAGTTGTCATGGTCCGGACCCTCTTCCATGTTCGTTTAACTGCAGTTGCCATGTTGTTGAACTACAGTTGCCATGGTTGCTCAACTGCAGTTGCCATCTTAGGTCAAGTGGCAGATGCCACTCTTGGACAACTGCAGTTGTTGCCATGTATGGTCTGATCTACTACAGTTGCCATGATTTGAAAAACTTTAGGAGTTGCCACCTACTAACACTTGGCAGTTGCCATGTAGCACTATAAAAAAAGGCATGACAAAAAAACATGTTCGAGTAAAGAGAGAGTTGTCATCTGCTTACAAGCACGCTAGGGCAGTTGCCATGTACCCTGCAAAACACATGGCAACTCGGATAAAGAGAGAGTTGTCATCTGCTTACAAGCACGCTAGGTCAGTTGTCATGTACCCTGAAAAACACATGGCAACTGACAGCTTTGGGTATGAGAAAGGAGATGGGCGTGTGAGCGAACATATAAATTCCCACACACCAGTCCCTCTGTGTGCGTGAAAGCTGGCGTGTGGGCGAACTGCTAAACGCCCACACATCAACCCCTCCACGTGGTGAAACGGACGTGTGGACTACTGAATAAATGCCCACACATCAGTCCAGTCCTACATGACATAAAAAATCTGATAAAACATGCCAAAATTTGTGCAAACATAAATGAACTTTGATTCATGTATGTGGGCGAGATGCAAACGCCCACACGTGAAGGCGTTAGTATTTTCGAAAATAATCGGCATTACCGCTCCTCGCTTGGTGTCCTAAGAAAAAGAAGCTAACACTCACCTGAATCAAGCCGGCCGGCATCGATCAACGATCAGGTGAATCATCAACACATCCCTTGGCGCGCACATCACTTTGCATAAAGCACCGGCGCCACTTTGCTGCTACAGGGAGCCACCTCCGATCGGGCCCCATAAATGGCGCGCGCTCTTCTTGACCCAGAAGAGAACCCTGTTGCTCACCAGCTCATCAGTACGTACGCACAGGAATGGCTTGGCTCGCGAGACGCCTTCTGGGACAGGGATTCGGTGACTTCACTGAGCAAAGTCTCATTGTGACTTTACCTAGGTGAGGGCCATCGAATCAAGATCTAATGGACAAGATTGGTCTAAATTTTATGTTTAAAATTCAAACTGTTTAGAAAAAATTGAAAAAATTCAGCTAAGTCAAATATGTTCCATTGAATATTCTGGAAAATTTTCGTTTCATTTGGATAAATGGTTTAGCAGCTAATTGTGTTTTGAGCTTGAAATATAAAACCCTATTTAATCATAGACCGTTTATTCAAATGAAACAAAAATTTCACAGAATATGAAATGAGACATGTATGGCTTACCTGAATTTTTTCCATTTTTTCTGGGCAGTTTTAGTTTTGAGTACAAAATTTGAATCAATCTTGACCGCTGGATGACACTCACCTAGGTAAAGTCACGATGAGACTTTGCTTAGTGAAGTCACCTGAGGCTGGCCTGCCTCTCCCTCCTCCTCGGGACCCTCTCCGCGCCCGGGTTCACGGCCGTGGCCATGGGCGGCATCGGCCACCTCCGCTCCCGCGGCACGGCGATCGGCGTGTCCCGGCCGCAGCCGGACGTCAACTTCACCATCGGCATCGTCGGCGCCGTCTGGTGCAAGAACTGCCGCTACGCCGGCTACCTCCCGTCCAAGAACGTCGCGCCCCTCCCGAGTAAGTACCACTCCATGGCACGAACTGCACTCACGCACCGTGACAGGCACTGATCGTTTTCTCTGTGCTCGCAGACGCGGCGGCGCTGCTGCGGTGCCGGCGAGGGAGGCAGGCCATGTCGGCGTGGGGCACCACAGACGCGCGGGGCTACTTCATGATCCAGGCGGCGGAGCAGGCGGTGCCGTTCGCGAGCAAGGACTGCGTGGTGTACTGCCGCGCTCGCCGCGCCGGGGCGCGTGCGGCGTCGCCGTCCTGCCCCGCCGGAACCAGGGCTCGCCGCTCAGGTTCCGGGAGTACGTGACGCGCCCCGACGGCCTGCAGGCGCTCTACACCGCCGGCAACTTCGTGTTCGGCCCGCGAGACCCCGCCAAGTGTGGTCTCCAATAATGAACCAGCGGTTTGGCCTCTTCAACTGGATGAATCTGACACCATGGTTACATAGTACGGGAAGATGCTCGATGTTATATATATGCAGTACGTAACAGTTTCTGTGTACGTATGTCTGATTCAAAGCAAACACTCAGAATCCTGCTGCGGTAGGCCTTCCAGAACACTGAGTGGTCTAAATATTTCGACTGAGTAGTGATTAATTAATGTGGAAAGTGCACATATAGGTGGTGTTTGGTTCTCTAGTCCTAGGACTTTTTCTAGTCCCAACTAAAAAGTTCCTAGTCTCTAAAAAGTCTCTCCCTGTTTGTTTCCGGAGACTAAAAAGTTCCTAGTCCCTTTCTAGAGATTATTAAATGACCATGTTGCTTCTAATATATAAAAAAATAACAATCAAACAACACCATGGGGTGGGGTGGCGGGCCAATGGGTGCTTGGAGGCGCATTGTTGAAAAAGTCCCAAAAAGACTCTCCTAGAGAGTCTTCTTCATTTAATCCCAAATGACTAGTTTAGTCCCTAAAAAGTCC